AAACCTGAAATACTTGAATACCATCTAGATTCCAATTACTGGTAAACTACCTGCCCAACACACATTAAAGTTTTTCATAGTATTAGAAAAAAAAACTACAACACATTTATGCTTTCAATAATCATAACCCATGAAACACTCAAGCCGAAAAGCATTTATTTCTCTCTCTATATATGTATATATGTATATACATATTCTCTCTATATATATGTATATATATATACACACACACACACCCCCAGAGAACAGCAGGAAAAGCAGAGTTCTGAACACCTTAACACCATAGAGAACTGAAAAATTACTTATTTCCCCCCAATTTGTCAGAGATCCTGTGATGATCTGTTCCATTTTCAAAGACAGTATTTTTCTTTTTTGGAGACAGAGCCTCAAGCTGTTGCCCTGGGTAGAGTGCTATGGTATCACAGCTCACAGCAAGCTTCAACTCCTGGGCTCAAGCAAGTCTCCTGCCTCTGCCTCCCAAGTCTGGGACCACAGGCGCCCACTGCAACGCCCGGCTATTTTTTGGTTGCAGCCGGCATTGTTATTTGGCGGGGCCGGGCTGGATTCGAACCCACCACCTTAGGTGTATGTGGCTGGTGCCTTAGCCACTTGAGCCACAGGTGCCGAGCCAAAGACAGTATTAACTACAGGCTGGATGGTATGATATGCTCAAGGCATGCTTTCTGTCCTGAGGGTATTTATTATGTAGGTAGAAACACAGGCCTTTACAAGAAATCTTTAAAAAAAAAAATGAAAAAACTGAGAAACAAAGGACATTAAAGACAAAATTGTAAAGAGACAAGAAAGAAAGCATTTAGGTCTGAAGTTGATGAGGGAAATCTTGAAAAATATCTATCTTGTGTTAGATCTTAAAGGAAACAATATCTGTGGATAAGTAGACAGGAGGGGGGTGCAGGGTGCATGGGGGACAGACTGAGCATGAACAAAGGTTAGGAAGGGAGAAAAGACAAAAATGTGCGAAGTGGTAGCAAAGCCGGCTTGATGCCACAGGAAACAGTTACTACTACATAGGTTCATACTGTTTATCCTCTTATTAACTATATTTTAAACCTTGAATTATATCTCTCAGGTTTAAGATTCTTTAATAATGAGTTAGCCATCAGGCATTATTAAAATGCTTTTTTAATGCTTTTATGCCTTTAGAGCTACTTTGCCTACTGTGCATTTTTTTCTCCTTGGAAGGGTCTACTCTTCTGCCACGTCTTAACTATCACCCGTGACATCTTCCTTTCAAGCCTGCTCCACCCTAAGGGGTACAAAATTGCTGTACCCACTGTGTTCCTTTAACCTATGTATCCAACATATCACTCATCATAGTGTAAATGATGATTACACATTTGCTCTCCAGCATTGGTGAATGCCTTGAGAGAGGGACACTGCTTTTTCGTTTTTGTTTTCATGTCTTAAATGCTTAGTAGCAATCTGTCAGCTTCCTGGAGCTCATGATCAATTGCTGAAGTAGACTCAACAGGGCAGTCAAGCAGGTGACAGATGCAAAGGGTTCCTTTCCCTCATCTGGGCTTCAGCAAAGCAAGACCAGGCAGCCTGCAGTCTCTTGCCAAGGTACAACTTTTACATGTCCTTATCCTCTTCTTGCCCTAGTACCAGATCCTGTTTAATTCCTCCTCTGCTTCTTGGGTGCCTGGCTACTGGAATTTAGCCCTGGGCTGCCCATGGACTGACCAAATGCTGCCAGGCCTATCCTTTCCTAGGAGTTGCTATGTTTCTTCTTGGCCTCAGGGTTCTCCAACTAATTTGATTTTTACCCAGTGGGGATTAAATCCTAAATGGCCCTAACTCTTGCTGCCAGATCTTTTCCAGAGCTCAAATCCTCATTTGCACCTGGCTGCTGGCTGCCTCCAGAGTGGCAAGTGATTTTTATTTGAGGCAAACTTTTTATTAAAGTGAAACATCTATAACAGAAAAGGGCACAAACCAGATTACAAGCTGATAACCTTTTGCAAAGTGAACACCCTTGTAACCTGAGCTCTCATCGAGGCAGAACATTACCTGAACCCCAGGAACTGGTCATACCACCTTCACAGTCACCTCCCCACTACGGGTAACCACTGACATTCAACATTATAGATTAGTGTTCTCAGATGCCGAACTCTCATTTCAATGGAATCACGGTATGGACTGAGGACTCTCTGGCTTCTTTCACTCATCATTATAGTTAGGACGTACACCTATATTGTTAGGAGCCGTTTTGGATAACTCATTCTCATTTGCTATAGTTAGCTGAATAAATATACTAGAAATATATTAGAATTTACTGTTCATTCTACTAAATGGAAATTTGGCTTGATTCCATTTCTTAGTTACTAGGATTACTGCTATTATAAACAATCTTCTTTTGTTGCATGGATGTATGCATTTCTACTGGATATAAAAACAGAAGTAGAATAGCTTAGTTATATTAAAGTTCAGCTTTAACATATAACAAAGCAGCTAAGTGTAATTTGGGAGTAGGAGTATAGTGAAACCTTTCGGGTGGCCACCTTTGCAGAATTTTAAGAGTGTTCCCGGTCTCATATTTTCATGAACACCACTTTCCCTGCTGGGCAGAGCCTTACTCAGTGACTCTGGCTGAATATGCTTCACTTATCTTTTAAAACTCGGGTCTGATAATACCTTTTTCAGGAGCAGCCCCTTGGGTTTCAATCCATCCCTTTTGGGGGAAGGACCCCTCATCTGTGTGTGTGTGTGTGTGTGTGTGTGTAACAGCCTGCCCATTTATCACAGCACTATTCACCTTGCATTTTATTATCTCTTTCGGCTTATCAGTTGTAACTACTAGGCTGTCATTCCCTTCGGGGGAGGAACTCTGAGTATCTATAAAACTTAGCAGACAGCATATAAATAGGTGTTCAGCTAATGTGTGCTGAATAATTAAATGAGTGAATGACTTCTCCAAAATGACACTCATGAATGGAACAGTAAGAATTAGGGAGGGGACTGAGGAACCATACTGATGAAACTGGGAGCAGGGAGCTCTCACGTGGTTTCAATAGACTTAAAGATGAAAGTCCTAAACTCAGCATGAGGGAAGGCAGGCAGATTGGTTTAGATGCAACGACATTACAAAGAGAGTGTCAAGAAGATATGATACTGGGTAATTTCAAAACAAGAACTACACCAACTATATATAAACATGTAAAATAAACTGGGAGTTATGGATCAAAATAACTGCCAATGACTCAAAATTGCCACCAGGTTTCTCTACCAATTTCATGGCTCAACTTTATAAACCGTAACCTCAGAGGATGCCTTAGCTGGCACTAAAGACAGAAGGATGAAAGGGCACTGGGACAATGAGAGAGAGAGAGATTTTTCTCTTCCGTAGGGAAAACATAATCTAGGTTGTTTTGCCATTAGCCATAGTCTACATATAGATTGTGGATTTAGATACACAGCCCTTCACATAATCTATATTTGTCATGGCTGAAGACCATTTCCTATCAGGAACATCTAATGAGACAAGTCAAATAATCCTAACAATTCCAGCCCTGGCAGCTGAGCTGAGAACAAACGTGTGAAAACATGCTTAATTTTCTAATTACCCCCTAATAATAAAATTGATGTCCTGACATAAAACACAGTTGTCTCTATATTCATAAACCAAAAACACCATAACTTTATGTGAATTCATTCTGGAACTGTTTTCAGAATATGACTTATTTGAACAGCTGACTCAGAAAGCTCATAGCAGAATGCTGTATTACAAGGTAAAGCAATATGACTCAGTATCCAAACCAAGAGTTTGAGTTTTGTTTGGTATTATGTTATTGAAGTACGGCTCAGTATCACACAGGTCAATTAAGCACCATTCATGAAAGAAGAGCCCATTGATGAAGCAAACTCTGTTGTCTTATTTTAAGAAATGGCCACAGCCACTCCCACCCTCGGCATCCTCCAGCCATCATCCTCAAAGAACAACCCTCGACCAGAAAAAAGATTAAGACTCCCTCTAGGCCCAGAGGACCATTAGCATTTTTTAGCAATAAAGCATTTTGAAATTAAGGTGCATCCATTAAAAATATATATAATATTATAGCCCACATGATAGGCTACAGCATAATGCAAACATACCTTTTATATACACCAGGAAATCAGAAAACTTGTGGGAATCGCTTTATTACAATATTCACTTTACTGCGGTGGTCTGGAAGTGAACCTGCAATACCTCTGAGGTAGGTACCCTTATGTATATTTCACATTTATTTACTTTTTCATTTCCAAGCGCTAAGAACTCATATGAACCCTTTCCTTTATACTTGCTTTCTAAAAAAGTTACACAAACATCATAAATAAATCAAACACACGGACCGATAAATGGCAGTATTTCTGAAGCACACGGGTTGTAGACAGCAAGCCCTCCATCCTCACCTGTAGAAGTACGAACACCCCCTGACTGTGTTGTGAGTGAAATGTTCCTGAGTCTTCTCATTTCCAAAATCCTCTAGGGGGTCTGACCACAGGATATCACACATAGGTCCATAAGCAGGTGGTTCTTTGAATCGGTCTAACTAAGAAAAAGAGAAAAGAGAGAGCAAAATACTAATCTTTGGAAACTTTCTGGAATTCAGAAAATAGAAGAAACAAGCACTGCGCAACACCCATCCCACCCAACAGCCACAGCTCAGGGTGTTCTGTCTCCCACCTCCCTGTCTCCCGTTCTCCTTCCTCCTCCTCCTCACACCCTTCATCTTGCCCTGCAGTGTTCCAGCCTCTGTCGCCCTGATGAGCTCATCTATTGCCCGTCTTCTTCTCACCCCTTCTTTCCCCCTTGCCTCTTTTATCCCCACTCTTTATTCCTGTTTCCCCCTTTTCCACTTCTCTCTTTTATCCTTCATTCTCCTTACTTATCCCTCATCATTACCAGGTAATGTGGCTCTACGTTGTGTCACTCGTGGTGGAGTTTTTGTTTTATCTTTGCGGAGATTCCCCTTACTGCTCTATTAAACTGTGATTTCGAGGTCTAGATGGGGAACACCCACAAGTTTTTATGGCTATCTTATGATTTTGATGTTTACCAGTACAACTTTGAGAGCAGACAGCTTTCATGCTAAACGTAGGCACCTGCTATATGACATTTTGGATATTCATTCATTACAGGCTACCTAGGCTTCCAATTATGAAGTGCAAGCCTATTGCAGTTGATGCTATGGAGCACAGATAAGAATAGTGATAAGCCCTGAAATAGCCTCAAATTTAGCAGGTTCTGCTTCAGTTCACAGTTCCAAGCCTGGTAATTTCACTCAAAGACTTCATATGGAATCCATTTTTCCAGCTATACATGCTTAGTAAAGTCATACTTGACTTTTAAAAGGTATGTTTAGAAGGCATAGGAATAATATAATTATCGGCAATAACATTTCACCAACAATTTTATAACCATGTCACTTTCCTTTAGTTTACCCTGATTTAAATGCAATTAAAGGATCTTTGGTGAATTAGCAAATATGTAAAGTTTCTTGAAGAAATGCATAAAATAGCTATGAAAATCTACTGAGAACTGATATTCTTTATTTTTAAGACTTAAATATTTTAAGAAGGCCAGTAGAGCCAAGTGAATTTTGTAGGCTGACAACCAGTCAATTTGTCTATTTTTCCTGGGATAAGATGATAGACATAGCAGTTTTGCCGAACATTACTTTTTACTAATATCTAAAGTGAATGAAGCAGTAGTTCGCATTTTCAACAACCAATGAGAACGAGACTCTATATAATACCTGTTATATTACCCATGATATAGTCATTGCAAACTGAAGACTTGTTTAAGAGATTTAAATAATTTATGTCTTTGGAACAATTCATTCAAGAAAAAAAATAATGCTTGCCCATAAAAATATAGAACTTCTTTCTGAGAAATAAGAACTTATTATTAAGGGCAGGACATCAGAGGAGGAGAAACTTGGTTAATTTGAAACCTCAGCTAACGGTGCGGCAAAGCAACTAGAGTATCTAATTCTAGAGAAACTGTAAAGTCCATTGTAAAGGTTAATGCCGTTGATGGTAAAAATAAAGATACAAAATTAATTTAATAAAAATAAGTCTAGTAAAAACTCAAATGAACATAGGACAAAATGTGAACCTGAAATAATTCTAGAGGTAAGTGTAGAGTTTAATTAATACACATCAAAATTGAGCATAATATCAAAAACATGCCAGGTAGTAAGTCTGGGAATAACAGGTGATATTTTTAAAAGTCTACTTAATGTATAATGAGATATTTACTTATTCATTTTTTTTAGTTATTCATTTTTTCAAAGTCCATCGAATTATAGAAGAATGAACTGCTTATGTTCATCAAGAAAGGAACAATTCTATACTTGAACTCCATGACTGTACTTCAGCATCACATCCCTACAGTACCTTAAATACAGAGCATAAACCAATGCCATGTGTGTTACGGAACAACAGAGGCAAGTGTGGAATAGTGTCCTGCCAAAAAGGACACTAACACAAAGAGCAGGGAACAAGTTCAGCTGTCCTTTTGGTTCATTTTTAAAATCAAAAGCAGGCATTTCTTCTCTAACAGGAGAATCAATACAGTATTACTTTTACATCTGAACACTTGAAACTCATAAGAGTATTAAGGAGGAACATGAATGTTTTACTTCCCTAAATATAGTTTTTCTTTCAGAAACAATAAACTTTTAAAGGAATACTAAGCTCATCATAGTTGAGATTTGTGATACATAAATACATTCATAATTTTATGAGGTATTTCCTCAACACCAACTCTTATAAAGAAAGGTATTAAGGAGAACAATAAATGAAAAAAACATAAAATAGTCTTACTTTTGTAGTTACAAAAAAAGCCAAAGGGAAAAGAAAAAGTACTTATTTTTTAGAGATCAAATATTTTATTTTTCCAATGATGTATGTCACATGACAAGGTGAACCCTGAGGTTCTGAAGATAAAAACTTTTCTAAAGATAAATACACCTTGCTTTCTAGATAAAAAATTAACACAAGGAAGACCTTCATGACCACTTTAAATCATTTTAATTCAAAAGGATAAGGACAGTGATAAAGGCAGGGTAATTAACTTCTCTATTTATTACCAAAGCAGGATTAGATGTGGAAAATATCACAACTTACTTTTCTCTTTTCTTTCTTTTTTTTTTTTTTT